GAATACCAGCAAATTAAGCATCTCTGTTTACAGGGATGGCGAACAGTAGGGAAAAGGGCCATCAACTCACGGCATTCTTTTTAGCAATTCTTATGTGGATGGAATTGCTTCTCCTCCCTCAGATGTAAAATGCAGCGGTTACTGCATTATACATAAGCGTAGAGAACTGAAAAAATTTTCCATCAAGAACCACAAGTCAATAAATCTTATGATCTCATCATTGGTGCCATAATTGAGCTAAATCTTCTTAAACCGGGCACTGTTCCTGAGGTTCTTTGAAGCATGCTCACTCTTTCTTTCAGTAAAATTGAGGGCTGACCTCCATTTACAGGAACACAGAAGCAAGGCTCATAAATACTAATATTGTGTACCAAGTTCATCAGAGCAAGGCCGTTTCACCCAAGTCTGTAAACGTTCAATGCATGATTTTACTCAGCAGAGAAAAGAAGGTCTCCAGCTTTCCCAAAGCCTGTAAGGCTCCTTCTGGTTATAAAACTGGGGGTCACAAATTACCCTTTTTGTATCTGTTTCTTGGAGGGCAAATATTTAATACATAGTGACCCCACGCTTTGTACAAAACATTCCCAGTTGTTCCTCAAACAGAATTAGGCTCTATCTTTTAAGACATTTTTTATTTATTTTTGACTGCACTGGGTCTGTGCTACTGCACACCGGCTTTCTCTAGTTGTGGCGAGCAGGGGCTCCTCTTTAGTTGCTGCGCGTGGGCTTCTCATTGCAGTGGCTTCTGTTGTTGAGGAACACAGGCTCAATAGTTGTGGCACACAGACTTGGTTGCTCCTCCATGTGGGGTCTTCCTGGACCAGGGATCGAGCCTGTGTCCCCTGCATTGGTAGGTAGATTGTCAACCACTGGACCACCAGGGAAGTCCTGGGCTCTTATCTTTTAAGAAGTCATCGAGAATTTTATTTTGTATCTGTCTTAGTCAATGATAGTAACAAGCAGACATTTAACCCGTGATTCTCACTGATGTTAGAGGTTAAAAGTCCCAGCGTCCATTGGCCATCAAGCACTAACTGCATGCCTGGCACTCAGCATTGTATATGCGTCATCTCTCCTTATCCTCTCAACAACCCAACAGAGGAGGTACTGTTACTAGCCCCATTTTACAGATAAGAATACTGAGGCTGAGGGATGGTAACCTGCTTGCTCAAGGATATATAACCATACATGGAGGAGGCACAATTTAATTCCAGTCATCAAACTCGAGTTGTAGCAAGGACCCTGGTAGTCACCTTGCTCCTCAGCCTCCCCAGACAAGTGACCCAAACAGAGCCTCATGGAATGAAGCCTTCCCTGGGGTCTCCCCCGCAGCTGTATGCACGGCTGGAAACATCTCCCATTTCCAGTACAGCCACAGGGACCTCTTCTTCTACCATCCAGCTGAGGCCCTTTGGGATCTTTTCCTATGTACTCAGGCTTTCCAGGTGGTGCTAATGGTAAAAAACCTGCCTGCAATGCAGGAGACAAAATGAGACGTGGGTTCAATCCTTGGGCTGGGAAGGTCCCCTGGAGGAGGGCCTGGAAGTCCACTCCAGTGTTCTTGCCTGGAGAATCCTATGGACAGAAGAGCCTGATGGGCTACAGTCCATAGGGTCGCAAAGAGCCAGACATGGCTAAAGCGACTTAGTACCTATGTAATCAATGTAAGTATTAAAAGCACATTTCTTAAGACCCTTTCAGAAATAGCTTCAGAGGATTCTGGAATCTAAAGAGAGAAGTGATAGATCATGTGACACAAGAGGAAAATACAGAAATGGGTTAAAAAACAAATGAAAAAGTGTCGATTTGGAAGACAGAGCTCAGCTGAGACTGAGCAGAGCAGCTGAGAGGCCCTGACCCAAAGCACAGATGATGAATAGGATGGGTGGGTTGCCGACTGATATCAAATACTCAGTTGCCTTTAAAATATCACAGATTAATTTAGACTTGAAAACTTTCCAAGAAAATTAACCAACAGCATTAAGAAGAATGGAGTTCAAAACCTGAAATGAAAGGATTAAGTCATTCTTCAGACAATAGGGTGGCTTTGATAAATCAGAAACACTGTTTGAAAGACTTAAAATATCCATAAGAACATCCAAGTCAGGAATTGTCCATCGTTGTTGTTTTGTGGTTGCTATACCCAAGGCCTTTCCAGGGATCCTAAAAAAACCCCAATCACTCCAGCAGTCAGTAGAATTTAAGGGGACCCAGTGTGGGAACTTTGTGGTGGCTCAGACAGTAAAGAATCTGCCTACAATTCAGGAGACCTGGGTTGGGAAGATCCCCCGGAGAAGGGAATGGCTGGCTACCCACTCCAGTATTCTTGGCAGGAGGACTCCACGCCTGGCATGCTACAGCCCATGGGGTTGCAAACAGTTGGATACAACTGAGCGACTAACACTTTCACTTCTGCGTGGGAACTTCATGTCCACATCTGTCATGACAGCAGAGTCCCATCAAGTTGAGGACTTAGGCTGGTTCTTCTTTTTCTCTTTTCAAATAGTGAGCTCCCCACATATCTATACAGGAAAGGGACTCTCTGGGTTTGGGCAGGAGGATAAGGTAGAATGAAAAGATGCTTAACACACTCGGTGTGTTAGAAGGAACAGTGACACGGGATTGCGGGAAAGGGGAGGAGAACTCGAACTGCAGGCAGAACACTTGGGTTCACGTTTTGCTTCCCCTCGTGCTAGCTTTGTGACCTTAGGTTTGTCCCTGACTCTTCCTGAGCCTCAGTTTCCTCCTCTGTAAGGTTGGCTTCATGAAATTAGGAATAAAAACTAATTGAAATAGGATACCTTAAAAGGCTCTCGTGAAGAAGTAATTATTTGTTCCTCTCTTGATGTGAGTTTTCTACGTGGGCATGTGGCATTTCTGCCATTGGCTCAGCCCTGGTTCTCCTCTAGTGCCCCATGCGGGGCTCCAGAGAGCTTTTGTGCGGGCTGCCCACTTTGAGAGCTGGACCCCTGGAACCTTCACAGTCTGTCCTCTCTAATTTCTCCCTTCGCGGAACAGCTTTTTCTCTTGGACGCTGAGTCCCTTTGGGTGTCTGAGCATCTTTCAGCATCTGTGGGCTCGCGCCCTGTGGCCTAGAGTCAACATGCCACGTTGAGCTCGCTTCTGACTCTGCCCACAGCCCAGGCCTCCCAGTTCCCTGCCCAGCTGGAATGGGCTGTCACATACTGGCCCGTGCTCATGAGTGCAATTAACGATGGCCTTGTTAAAAACAACTGTCAGAGGAGAAGCAGGATTTGGATCTCATTGTATAAAGCAATTTGAAGCCGTAAACTAATAGTAATTGGATTCATGAGTTTCTCTGTAATTTCAAAGTGTTTACCACTTTAAACAGAGAGAAAGCCCTCTACAAATGTATACAGCGAAAGCTGTATCCAGTAAAACTTTTATAGGATTCATAGAATCTCTATGGTAAAAGTGTTCTGGGTTTGAACATCATCTTCAGTGAACGTTGGTAAAGTGATGGATACTTCGCTGATCAAAAAAACCTCGAAGTGGAGTTTACCCAGTGGGACGGAGTGTCGGGCTTGGCCCACCCCATTCACTTTTGGGTGGACTAGTCAGAAAATGTTACAAGAGGTCTGGGAGGGGTAATTCCCTTATGTCTCAAAAGGAAAGGAGAACCACATATGGGTGAGTCTTGGGGGTCTCTCTCGCAGTGTGGACCAAAAACTGCCTTCTTAGACATTTCTGTCTGATTGCTGAAATTCTAGTTGTAGCTCAGCAAACTGACTGTTAGTTTCACACTGCTTTCTCTGTCATCTTTTCATCATAGGTTTAACAGTCGCCACGTCGATCTATTACCTGTCAACATCTCCAACACTCAGAGTGTGAGCAGGAGGGATCACCTGTTTACTTGTTTTCCCTCGTGGCTCCAGCCCCCTTGCCCACCACCTACCCTTCCTGGCTCGGCCAGAACTTCAGTTGTGTCAGAACCTCAGAGGGCAGTGTTGAGTGTGGTGGTCTGGCTGTAACATATAGAACTTTTGATGGATATAGGTGATGGAAGCAGGCCTTTCAAAGTGAACTCACAGAGCTAGCAGAGACTCAGAAGGGAAAAGTACAATCTTTTTGGTCCACGTGCTGAAAAGTGAATCTACTATTTGTCTGTATCCATCAGTGATACCCTGCATGGCTGCCTCATCGTGAACATTAAAGCTCTTTTATTAGACTTAGGTTGCTGGTTCCTTGAGATCAAGGACTGTCTGTTGTTATTCTTTTATAACCCTCCCCCCCGAGCAATGCCTGGATCTTCCATTGGTTTTTTCTTTGTTTTTTTAATGCAGTAAACTAAAGTGCTTCTATCATTGCAAATGATTTTCTTGGTCTGTTTGAAGCCCCAAGAAGGTCTTTTCAGTAATGACTTCCACGGTCCATCATATGATCTTCACATACTATGCCTGTATTTTTGTCTGCCTGCCCCAACACTGGTCATTATGGAAACACAGCCTTTGCTCCATGGGCCATGATGCCCTGTGGGTGCTTGTGCGTCTACAGGTGTGATTCCCACTGGCTGGCAGGGTTCAAGAGACAGCAGGTTAGAGGGGGGGGAAGGGAGACCCTCAGACTCATTGGGAGGCACCTGCGAGCACAGCCAGTGAAGACGTTACAGACAGCGACCAAGTTATTTCTGGGCATTAAGAAAAGATAAACTCAGCCCTTGAGACATTAGGGAAATTAAATGATGTGAATTATGGAGCATGGTGGGGAAAAAAAAAACAACATTGAGATGGGAGAATTGTCAAGAAGTTTCAAAATGAGTCAAACTAGCTTCATGGACTGGACCTCACTAAAAACGTTTACTTGATGTCGCAATGTCATATTGACAGCTGCAGTTGAAATATGTTTGTTCTGTCTCTTGTTTCGTGCTAAAGATAACACCCAAGCCCTCTTCTCCCCCCGCCCTTGGGATCTGGGATGCAGAGCCCTGTGAATGTCAGAACAAGGGCAGTGCTTGATTCTACCTTGTGCTTTCTCTTCAGGAAATCGCAGAAGCAGCCCCCCGGCCTATGGGTTCCGTCTCTCACCAGAAGAAGAAATGAGGAGACAGCGGCTGCACAGATTTGACAGCCAGTGAGGCAACCCAGCCTTGTGAACAAACACGGTCCGGTTGTGCAATAATTACCCCAGACCCTCAGTTTTGTACAAAAGCAGAGAGGGCGCATGACCGTCCCAGTTGCTCACCTCTGCAGTGGCCTGTCACCCTGCAGCCACCGTGAGTCCAGCTGATGTTTTGAGCTAGTTGACATCTTGAGACCAGGCTTGTTTTGACAGCCCCCAGCTCTCTGGGAATGGCACTCTTGACCTTGTTACCTTGCAGACAGAAGCTCAGGCGTCTCCACGTGGGGACCAGTTTCCACGATCCTGTCTCTCACTGCTGACTCAGTGGAGCTCCTGCCTTGTTATGTCTTTGAGGACCGTGACCTCTGCCAGGAGGTTTGTGTTCACCAGCCCAGAAGATCAGGTCCTCCTCCTGCTCAGTGCCCGACTTGGCAGAAAGCGGGGAGCCATCCCTCGTCCTCCTGGCACGTTGCCATGGTGACTTTCCAGGCACCGGATGTAGCCGTCATTGCAGGGTGTCGTCCCGGCCTCCCTTGCCCAGACGCCTCGGTTCCTGGGGCCCCCATGTCTGAGCGGTGTCTGCAGTGAACCTGCTTTTCTCTGATGCCTCTCTGCCTTCCGAGGATGTGTCAGTGGAAAAGCTTAAGTGAGACCTCAGATGGGAAACCAGTTCCACACTCCACGACCCGGCAGGTGGCACCGACAACCCAGCTCCTCTCCATCCCAGAGCCTCTCCGGGGACGATGTCACATCCTGGAGCTGCGACTTGTACTTAACTAACCAGCAGAGCAGCAGCAGGTGCCACGTGCAGAGGAGTGACCAGCAGCTTAGTCACAGAGAAATCCTTCCTGAGGAAGTATTTTTTTTTCCCTCATAAAAGTGCCTTTTAATTGACCACTGTAACAGCCACCCTCCAAGACACTCCCCTAACACACAGACCCCAAATCACTTAAGACGTGTTTCCTGGTGCTTGAGTTTCATGAATAAAAGGAAAAGGTCAAATATCACTGATGTCTTACATCACTGAGATATTTATATTTAAAGAGAGTTAGAAACAGAAAAGGGTCTTCCTCTATGGCTTTATCTAGCATTTATATAATTTTCTGATTATGAAAGTAATATATATACCTTGTATATGCATAAAGCCAACATCTGGCAGGAAATGCACCCACATATTAACAGAGGTTATTTAGGAAACTGGAGTGCATAGGATTTTGCTTTCTGTTTTTCACAATTTTATATTGTTCTCTTTTTACACTTGATCTTAGCCAAAAGGCCAAGAAGTGATTATTGTTCTTTTTAAAATGTGTGTATATGTATATGTGTGTACTACTTTTGCAGTAGGGAAACTGATTTATATAATTATAAATGAAGAAATATATAACCAGAAAAATGGACTCAAGAATAAGTATTGTGTCTCTGTTGATAAAATTTACAATATAAACAGAAATACAAAAAAATACATGTGCAATTTAAAAATCACCTGTGTCTCCACCAGGGTTAAGATTTTAAGGATATTGCTTTCTCAGGCTTTGTATATGTTTCACAAGTTTGGAGCATACCAACTATGCAGTTTTGTGTCTGGTTCCTAATCTCAGCTGACCTGGGTGAGACTTTGTCACTTGCATGTAAATGAGCTAACAAACCACGTGAGACCTGGGAGCACTTTGACCTGCCGGCTGGAACAGTGTTACCTGAGCTCCTCAGCTTAATTTCTGACTGATACAAAGCGACATGCAGCACGTTTATAGTATGAATTGTATCTCTGAGCCTTGCAGCTTCAAACACTTGACAATTGAAATGTTTAAGCCAGATGTCATTCCTCTTCTCCCAAACTCTTCAAACGCGTTTCCCATGATCTCTGCCCGCGATGCGTGCACACCAAGTCAGCTCAGTCGTGTCCGACTCTGCAACCCCGTGGACTGCAGCCCACCAGGCTCCTCTGTCCCTGGGATGCTCCAGGCAAGAATACTGCAGTGGGTTGCCATTTCCTCCTGCAGGGGATCTTCCCAACCCAGGGATCAAACCCGGGTCTCTTGTCTCCTGTATTGGCAGGCGGGTTTACCGCTAGCGCTACCTGGGAAGCCCCCTACTGGGAATAACCTCATTCTTACATTCCATCTTCTGATAGCACATTGTAAAGGTAACTCTGACATTTACATTTGGCTCTATGATTATTTGTACACAACTGTAGAAAAACATGCCTTCTACACAGGAGCACAGATTATGAATGGCTGTGGAATGAGGTCTCGTTAATGCCACACTTTCCAGCTCTCTCACTGCATCACCCAAAGGCTGGCCCCTGCCTCCCAGTAGAGGCTTATTCAGTGTTGGTTTCTCACCAGAATATTTTTTTAATGCAGTAAAAGTCCAGCCACTGTATATGGAGGTGGCTGTCAGTCTAGTAATAATAGCTCCTAGCTCTGTTTCACTTGTCAGATGTAAAGACACCAGAACTGGATTTCAGATGGTGTAACTGTAATAGGCATACCTTACTTATGGAGTGGATTATCACTAAACTTTACAGATGTGGGAAAGGTCATTTCAGTTATAAATATAAACCAGTTATCTTAGCACAACAATAAAGATGTTTTGGAAATTATTTTAATTACTTTGTTCAGTTAATAGGCTTGCTTGTAACCAAGTGCTTATTATTTTCAATATCCATCTTATTTTTTCTTCCTACAGTAAGGAATCTCCAAAGTTACACCACAAAACTGAAACTGGGTTGAGGAAGACAAACAAAAGCCAGTGTATTCAACTAATTATCTCTCAGGGAGTAAGCATTTAGAGGTGGTTTTAAATTTGGTTTCTTTGCTTAATAGTGATTTCCTGGTTGTCTGTTAAACATTCCCACGCTTCGGTTGTGATCAGTCAACTTAGGAGACCTCTTAATTCAGACTCTTTCCTTGGTTTTCAAGATGAGGAACCAGTTAAAATTGCTTCCTCTTTATGACCTTGAATGTATTTAGTGCCTGTGATTCCAAAGTTGTGCTTGATTGTTCACAGCCCCTCTGTCCTTTTAAGCTGTCTATTGTTGAGTCCTGGACAGTAAAAGGCTGGTTTTTGTAGAATTGGGGCCAGTATACATGTCCGTCACACGTTCTGCTGCTTGGGATGTAAGTTAAGAATCTGAGTAAACAGAGTCACTCAGTTGTGTCTGACTCAGTATGACCCTATAAACTGTAACCTGCCAGACTCCTCTATCCAAGAAATTTTCCAGTCAAGAATACTGGAGTGGGTTTCCATTTCCTACTCCAGGGGGGATCTTCCCGACCCAGGGACAGAATCAGCGTCTCCTGCTTCGGCGGGCAGATTCTTTACCACTGAGCCACCTAGAGGATTAAAAGGCTGAGACCTGTCACCAGAAAAGGACAGTAAAACCCAGAGGGTGTGGCAGACCTGGCCCCCTCCTTCCTGGTCCTAGTTTCTCTTGAAAGAGTCAGTAAAGAATTGTATTCAATTCATAACTGATGCGGAGAGCTGACTCATTGGAAAAGACCCTGGTGCTGGGAAAGATTGAAGACAGAAGGAGAAAGGGGCAACAGAGAATGAGATGGTTGGATGGCATCACCGACTCAATGGACATGAGTTTGAGCAAGCTCCAGGAGATGGTGAAGGACAGGGAAGCTTGGCGGGCTGCAGTCCATGGGGTCGCAGAGTCGGACACAATTGAGTGACTAAACAAGTCATTAAAAAACAAAATCCTGTCATCTCTTCCCTTCCTTTCCCTTCCCTTCCTATGAATTACTGCAATCATTTTCTTTCTGCTTTTGCCCCAGTCTTTTCTAGAGTCACAGACTCCCTGCTTAAAATCTCTGTTCATTGCCCCACTCAATACTTAAAATTCATCTTCACTCAGTTCTACACAGCACTGCCCATTAATCTTCCAAAATGCATTTTTGTGATGCCACCCACCATCTCAGTCCCTTTTTATCATTCTCTGTTGCCAAAGGATAAAGGTCAGACTCATTCGCCTCAACCATGGGCCTCCAGCCAGCCTTTCAGCCTCACCCTCACTTGTCCCTAAGGGAGTCTGTGCTGCTGCTAACAGGTCTCATGGCTGTCCAGGCCACGGGCATGCCTGACCCTGTGACTTCCATGCAGTAACCTATCCCTGTCTCTTAGATCCTCATCCAGATCCTCCCCGTTCTGCCCCCAGAATGATCTGCCCTTGGAGGGTGTTCATCACAGTTTCCCCAAGCCGCTTAGAATTGCTAGTTATCCTGAAGTGAGAGAAGGCCTTTGAACTGTAAGCTTCACAAGGGCAGGACTTTGACTGTGTTTCTGTGCATCTCTTCATAGTACCTGATACAGTGTCTGAAGTGTTAAAACCAATCAAGCTTTTGTGGAGTGAAGCAGAAAGAAGCTCATTTACAACATCACCAGTGGCACACGTGAAAAGGGGTGCCTGTTGCTGCTTGCTGTTGTTGACTGTGTGTCTGTTTTCTTGAATCACAGGAAAGAATCACTTGAAAGAAAGCTTTTGTCCATGTTGTTGTTCAGTCGCTCGGTCTTGTTCGACTCTTAGAGACCCCACAGACCGCAGCACGCCAGGCTTCACTGTCCAGTATCTCCCAGAGTTTGCTCACACTCATGTCCATTGAGTCGGTGATGCCATCCAACCATCTCATCCTCTATTGCCCCTTTCTCCTGCCCTCAATCTTTCCGAGCATCAGAGGCTTTTGCCCATAGAAGCAGAAACATCCAGGCCTTCCCCAAGGCTTACCGGATGGTGGGGAGAGGTTGCCATCCTCCTGTGCCCAAAGCTGGTTCCATGTCACGAATGCTGCAATGAAGTGCACAAAACTCAAGATTCCAGGACCTTCAAAGCATATCACCAAGGAGCCCCCGTGGATACCACCAAGTCTGGCCATTGTTTGCAGGTGTGTTTGTGTGTCTGTGCTCACTGCTTTTTCCCCCCATGTCATTTTTGACATCTTGTTCAGGAATCTTCAGATGAACTGACAGATTGGAACATACGATTTATACTTTATCAAGGAAAACCAGAACATGACTAGCAGAAATCACTGAATTTGGTTGTAATACATATTGCTGCTTGGGTAGAGAATTGTGTGATAAAACCAGTAGTATGGGAGGCCATGGTGTAGTGGGTAAAACACAATCTTAAGCAATTGATGGACCAGGGTTCAAGTTCTCCTGGTGTTGACTGTGTGACCCCAAGCAAGTCACTTATCCTCTCTAAACCTCAGCTTCCTCATCTGTTAGATAGGATAGTTGAGAGGTTGAGGGAAGCTTGTACCACAGGGTTCATACTGTTCCTGTCATATAGCAGGTGCTCGAGAAACGTTCATTTGCTAACATTATTGCTCTTTAAGTGAGTACACGACTGTGCATGCTCAGCTGCTAAGTCATGTCCAACTCTTTGCAGCCTTGTGGACTGTATCCCGTGGGGCTCCCCTTCCATGGATTTCCCAGGCAAGACTACTGGAGTGGGTTGTCATTTCCTCCTCTGCAGGATCTTCCCAACCAAGGGAACAAAACTGCATCTCCTGCATTTGTAGGTATACTTTTTTTTTTTTTAACCACTGAGTCACCTGGGAAGCCCAGTTGGACCAAATAACCGCTGAAGTTCCCTCCTAATTAAAAAAAGGTGCTCCATGAAACAGCTGTTGAATATCTGCACTGCACCCACCCCTGTGCTATGAGAATAAAAATACCTCCTAACCCCTAACTTCCAGTGACTCTGGTTGTCAGTAACAGTACATTTTATATCTCTTTGTGGTTCTATTTCTTAATTTTTTTTAAGATTTTTTTGAATTTTTTTAAAGTCTTTATTGAATTTGTTACAATATTGCTTCTGCTTTATGTTTTGGCTTTTTGGTGTGAGGCATGTGGGATATAAGCTCCCTGAAAAGGGATCAAGCCCACACCTCCTGCATTGGAAAGCAAAGTCCTAACCACTGGACTGCTAGGGAAGTCCCCTATAGCTCTTACTTTTAACCCTTACAGCAACCCTGTGAAGCAGGTGGTCTCATTTTTCAAC